ATGGTATTTAGAGAAGTAAAATTCATGGAAACAAAGTAGAATGATGCTGCCAGGGGCCAGTGTGAGGGAGAAATGGGGAGTTGTTTAATGGGTACAGAGTTTCATTTTTGCAAGGCGAAAAGAGTTCTGGATATTTGTTGCACAGCGATGTTAGTATACTTAACACTATATATCTGTACACCTGAAACTAAAAAAAAAAAACTATGAAAAGAAAAAAGTTATGAAAAAAATATATACCTAGGTACCACTCAGTCACTGAGCTTCCATTGTGTGATAGGCATTGGCACTTTCTGTATATTATTTAATTTAATCTTTATAATGACCACGTAGTAGCTGTTGAACCCAATGCTTGTTAGAGGAAAATGTGGCCAGGCTGTTTTAGGAAACATGAATCAGCACCGAGCCCATTATTGATTTTTATTGGAGCATCCTGACACCTAGTGGTGGTTGCTACCTGTAACATGAACCCCTTCAGAGCAGGCTAAGTCAATGGTCATAACATTTAGTGAAGCCTCCTAGACTTTATTGAGAACTGAAGGTAAAAGTTTCAGTTTGGCAAGAAATAGACACATATAAATAATTTGAACCAGGTTTGAGGTGATTCACAACTGCAGTGAGTACGAGTTTGGACACCAGTAATAGAAGCATTTACCATTGGGAATACCAGGACATTATACTTGGAGAGAGAGATATTATGTTGCAGTCTTTAAAGATATGACTTTCACCAAACGTTCCTTTTTTTTTTTTTTTCTACCTTCTTCACAGCGTTAGATATTTTCTTGATTTCATTTTCTTTTGCCCAGTCACTCCTGGGTTTTTTTTTCTCCTTTGTACACCTGTCTACTTTGTCTTGTAAAGTGCCTATAGCACCTGGTAGGCTGATTACTGACAGCTGAGAGGCTGGAATAAAAGGCAAAAAAACATAAAGTATTGGAAATCCATTTGAGATGATTCTTCAGATCAGTTAAATTAGCCTCAAGGGAAATTAATGGCTTTAAAGGCTGAATTTGCTAATTAGAAAAAGTTTTCAATCCTGCTAACTTAAATCAGAATTGAAGATGAAAAGTCCTAGGCCTATAAATTATTTGAGAGCTAGGATTTTTCTCTATGTTTTTTACAGTGTTCATGACTTTTAGTATATTTCAAAGAGTAGTGAACAAAGCCAGAAGGTTTTTGTTTAATTTACGTGAAGGGAATGGGGCTCCCAAGGTTGGTGCATGCTCTTCCCAGTATTGTGAATGGAATCGGAGTACTACTCTTTTCTCTCTAGGCGCTTGGCAGACAGAAATGCTGAGCTGGAGCGAGTGAACAGAATGAAGCAGAGCTTACAGGAGGACTGGGAAAGGAGTGCTGCAATGAAGAGGCAGCGGGACCTGGAGGAGAAGGCTTTCCAGCGGTAATACCACCGGGTTGCAACCCCAGCAGTTCTTTGCTTGCAAAGAAAAATCCCTCTGCTCCTTGTTTACTTTCCTTTCATCCCGGGATGGCAGATTTCAAGTGCCAGCTCCAGTTAATTAGTAGTGGCTGCCTAGAGAACTTTGTTGAGAAAAGAATTCTGGGTCCGGTGGGAAACACTGCTGTGATGTATTAGAAATGTCTGTTATGAATATGGGATTGGAGAATGCTGTGTGGTGTGTTATATAGTTGCCATCTCTGCCTAATCTTTGCCTTTGCATAGGGCGGCTTGCTTTTCGTGGGGGGAGGAGGAAGGTGGGAGTTCTCTTTGGAAATAACTAGTTGGAAATAGGGAGAGTGAATTTCCCCCTGAACACGTTCAAGGCTTACAGAATGGTCATTTAAGAGCAGAGTCAAGGGGTTGTGGGTAAGATTGGCAACTGGAAAAGTGAGAAGCCCATTATGGAACCAACCAAGAACATCCTTCTGAAATGTACTAGTACATCCCTGCCCCCTCCCCACGAGCTATCTATTTATAATCCAGAATCAAGGCATCTACTCATGGTTTCAAACATTCACACTCACTTTGGAGAGGCAGCTCGTAGTTTTGTCTTACTTTCCTTATTTGTAAGATGGGGCAAATAAACACTTGCCTGACTTAGCTTAACACAGGAGTTTTTGAGATTGAATAAGGAGGTGGAAGAGTATGACACTTAAAAAAGGTACAACACTTCACAAATATAAAGTATGATTCCATAGAATGTTAACGACTTCAGGAAACAGACCAATCCTATGTAATCAAATGTTATTCAAACCTGTATCTACCAAAACAATATTTTAAATTGCTGATTACCAACTAGTTTTTATCATGGGTAAAATTTGTTACAATAGTTCTTGATCTGTAAGTCTCCTTTTCCTTTTAGATTTTCTTTTAATTCACTTCTCGCCTGTCTTTCTAATGGGTAGAACCCATATTTTGTGACTACGAAAGTATGAGGGATGCCGTGGAAAATAGGTTCCAAAGGGGAAGTGGGGGTGCTTGGTTGTTTGGAAGAGGAAGGGAAAAGGGGAATTGGCGATTTCAAGCCATTCTCTCAATGTTGGGGGAAAGCAGTGAGATTAATGCCAGGGAGATTTCAGTTGGATTTCGGGAGAATGCTTGGCCAACATGGGGATCAAGGATGGAGGAGACACAGGACAGAGCCTTGAGTGAGGATAACGGAGCTGCTCCGGGGACATGGCAGAGTGGATCTTGCCCTGAAGACCTAGGCCAAGTTGTGGGTAGAGACTTCAGCAGGCAGTAGGGAAGAAGAAGGAATTGGTTGGTGTTAAAAAGAAAACAAAACAAAATTTTAAAAAAGGCTCAGATGTATGCAGTTAGCACATAACACTCCGTACTATTACTAAGGCAAACCAGATAGGTCTTGCCCTGCCCACTGCCAAGATTGTTTCTGTTTTTCTTTTTAAGGCTGTCCATGATGCTCCTTTTTTACAGAATTTCACCCATGTATGAGAAATTTTGATAGGGTAGGCACTGTCTTGTAAAAGAGAAAAATTGTTCAAGTGGAAAATCAGTCACTACCATCCCTTTATCTTTGCCTCGAGCCTCTTTTGCCGTCTTCCTCTTGGCCTCCAAGCCCTACCTGTCTGTAACTGCCCAGAGGCCTCTGGCCTCCTGGGGCTTTTTACTGCAAGTCTTCTCTTAACTGGCTGCTGGGGTGTTAACTGTTAACCAGCAGCTTGATGACCTGATGTCCCTCGCAAACAGTCTCCTGGGAGCCCGCCAGGTAAATGTGCATTCATGTGGCAAAGCAGCAAACACAGAGGCTCTGGAGTCACCGTTCACTGGCTGTGTGACCTTGGGCTGTGTGACCTATGTGTTCTCTGAGGGTTTCGGTAGGTGTGGCTAGCGGGGAGGACTGGGATCAGGCTATTGTGAAGGCCCTGGAATCAGAGCCTTTTATTTACTGGGGGAGGCGGAGATAGTGGAGGTTTGGAAGCAGGAGATGCCAAGCTGAGCTGGGGTGAGCTGCAGGTAGCAGCGTGGAGCGGGAGAGACTGCAGGTGGGAGGTGACAGGTGGGTAGTAAGTCCTGGAGGGCAGGGACAAGATGTTGCTCTTCTTTTGTATCCCGTCCACTGCGCTGGCTTGGAGGCTTGAAAGCTAGGCCCCAGCAAGGACTCAGGGAACGCCTGCTGATGGCTTCTTTCCCTCTCCTCTCCTCAGGGCCTCAGACAAGCTCTTCCTCCTGGACCAGTGTCAGCAGTATCAGCGTTGCAAGCAGTGCCAGAGGTGCACCTCCCGCAGGAGTGACAGCAACCTGTGGCCCCTGAACAAGTACCTGCGTGGCTCCTCGTTGTTTGTGTGAAATTCAAAGTTAGGACCTGTGTTTCCTGGGGGAAGTTTTTATTTTTTTAATGTTTGGGAGTGATGGTGAAGCTACGTACTTGTACTTTAGAGGAAAAAGCATCTATTGTGCGGTTATGGTGCTTCAAAAAGCATCACGAGATGGCTTTTTAGCCCCTTAATGAATTCACAGAGACAGTTTCTCCCCCTATCTTCCTCCCACCCCCACAGAACCCTGCTGCCATCAGGGCTGGGAATGGGAGCCTGCTTTACCCTGGCTGCTCGGCTGCTGCTGACCCAGCCCTGCCACTCCCTTTGTGATTTTGTGTAAGAAACTATCTTTTCGTCATCTATAATGAATAATGTCATAATAAATATTGTCTATATGCCTGACTGTGTATAACAATTCATAATGCTAAGTTTTACCATCTTTCTCTCAGCCCTAGATTTTTCCAGAGGGCTGTGTGTGTGAACATCCCAGAAGTAGGTTAGGCTATTTCCCTCAGGTGATCAGAGTAATGCTTCCTGAGTTTTATGGTTTATAACATACCTGGGACTTTGTTGTCAGGGGATATCATTCCCTTGGTGACCTTCCGGTCTACCATTCCATTGTCCAGCCATTTCTACACCAGGATGGTAGTAGGCTTGTTGCTGGGATGAGTGTGAGGGGAGTCTGGCTGGTCTGCCAGGTGCCGCCACCTTCTCTCATTGCTACACCGCATCCATTCTTAAGCTGTTCATGCTGTGGAAGAGGAGTATCTCCCTGTTAAAGGACTGATTTTCAGCTAAGGTATAGGTGTTCTCAACCAAAACCTTTTTTCCAAAAAAGTTTTATCTTCACCCTTTATCTTTCTTCTCCCTGCCTTGTCCTACCACCTCCAGCACAACAATGAACAAAGTACAATGAAGTCTAGACTTCTGAAATACAAAGGCTAGGGAGTCCCATGACTGTTTGCTTTCTGCCTGCCGTAGCTTTCTTAGAAAATGGGGAAAAATATATGTGTGGAGAAATCCAAAATATTGTTTTTCCCTACTATAAGTACAAAATAGGAATGTTTGAGCCCTGAACAGTTAAGGGGAAAGTATTTACTCAAATTGATAGTGGATGCATTTTGTTGCTAGAGTTACCTTTTTCCATGTAAATAAGTATGCTTGCTGGTGACTGGACTTGTCTGGAACCTCTCCCCTAAATCTTCCAACATTGCCACTTCCGTCCATTTCCTCAGAAGATCACTCTGTGCAGGTCCAGTCATCACCAACCAATATTTACAACAATAGCCTTTCCCCAGGATCGCCAGACTTTCCTGAAGTCCACACCTGCTTCACCCTTGGAGTATTTCTCTGTCTTTAATATGTAATAAATTACTATACTAGTGTTGTATTAATTTTTTAAAAAAATATAGATGGCTTTGTTAAAGAAAAAATAGTTTCGGCAATTTTGATATGTTTAGGTAACAGTTAACTTTATAGACATTTTTTTTTTGCTGTAGGAACTGCACTTACAATTTATTGTCATCGGTAGCGGCACTGACTGTGTGTGCCAAGCACCAAGCTGACTTGTTTTAAACCTTTTTTGGTTTAGTTGGGTTTGGTTTTTCAGGATTGTGGAGGGATATGAGGTGAGAGGGAAGGACATTCGACACTTCAAGTGTTAAAGGCTTATGGTTTTCTTGTAATATTCTTGTTATGTTTTGTAATGTTCTTTTATTTTTTGTAGAGTTTTCATCGCATCTTGATACCGGTAATGATGACCTCAAAACATGAGTTGGGAAATGTTCTGTTCCCTCTTCTATTTTCTGGAAGAGATTATGTAGAATTGGTATTATTTCTTTCCTGAATG